TGGAGTGTTTCTTATTGCATTTTATATCTCACATAGTATTATGTTACAGAAAAATTGCGTCATCTTTAAAAATACTAAACATTGTTCAATTCTTGAATATTACACACCATTTGAATTGAAACAATGGCATATGACGTTAATAATGTTATTTCAAATATATACTATAGGTATAACTCTTAATATTTTATTCCTTGCCATATTATTGTATTGGTATTCGTTGGAATTAGTAGTTATTCGTATAGAACATTTAAAAGAATGTATTGATAACATAAACTTCACCAGAAACAAGAAGAGAAACTTTGAAATGTTGTGGCCTGTTGTCTTACAACATCTAGACATATTCCGGTATTATAATTTCGAAGATTATTTTATTAATAAGATTTAAAATTACTATGATTATATTAACGATTTCAGGATATTTCAGTATGCTAAAAATATCTACACTGGTTTTCTTGTACCAACAGAAATATTTGCTCTCCTTTGTTTAACTATGTCTACTACTCTATTTATTCTGGTTTGAGTTTTGTGTTACTGTCCCATATAGGTTAATTAATAAATAATAAAACTTTTAGAAAAAGGACATGCCAAACTTTTCCGTAACAGCATTGGTTTTCGTAAGTTTATTTGTGTGTCACACTGTTGGACAGAGATTCATAACAGCGGTAAGAGTAACTTAGTCTTACGCATACATTTACTTGAAAATTCGAATTTTTCTTTTATTTTTAATAATAGAGTGAGAAGGTGTCGGAAGCCGTTTACAACATGAATTGGTACGATGCGGGTGTGTCAACAAGAAAAGATGTGTTAACCTTGCTTTACATGAGTCAGAAGGTTTCTACAGTGGAAGTTCCCATCTTTGGGCAAATGTCTCATACAGGAGCAGCTACGGTATGTTATTTATCACATTTGGGTAATTTGGATAATTGGGAAATTGAAAAACGAATGCTATTTTTAAGGATTGCAAGAAAGTTTATATTGTCTGTAATTGGATAATGAATGTTAAAAAGATGAAAAGCTTTTAAAACTTATTTACATCCGGATTTAATAACTACGTTAAATAGTAGTGTAAAGCTGTTAAAATGATATTTATCACAAATATTGCACGATTAAGCTTCAAATAAATATATTTATTGTTGAATTATGATTTTTTATTATAATCTAATTATTTTGACCAATATGCAAATAAACATTATGATAACTCTAACTTTACTATGATTACAACATTAAAACTTTCAAAACTAATGAATATCTCAAGCAGGATATCCATTAGGACTACATCCATTCAAATATCTGTGAAAAGCCTTGTACGAACATGCAGCTTAAAAACAAAAGATTTGTGAAGAAATATCGGGGGATGTTATCACCGAAGATGTTGCCAGACCAAGACATATTCAGAAGACAATTCAGAGAAAAGAAAAGAAATTACTCCAGTACAAATTGGACTATCAACACTATTTTTATTATAACAAACCTCAAAAACCAGCTTAGGTATCAAACACGATTACCTGCAAATCTATAATCGATTTTGAACATGCGTGTAGCAAATTTAATACAGAGTTTTAATCACCACAGGATGTCGAAAAACTTACTTAACTAAAAAAGTTACAATTTTTATGGTTTTAAGACTACAGTAAACTATGTATGTATTCATAAGATCTCTAATATCATAGGAACAATGTAAACAATACGGAAGTTTTGGAGTTACTGCTGATATAATGCGCAGTGTTTTCGTGTTATTTTGCTGATCGATGTAATTGTTTCAAGTCAGATAAATAATAAAATCTCGTTGAAATCATATCATTTCTCTAATCAGCTATTCAATAACTTTATTAACACTATAACTACATGTTGATGTGCATTCACTGAACTAAGTTAAAATTCTTATGACTCTACAACAAAATTATAGGCAACATATTTATAAAGTTACCCCACAATATTATTTGACAACTTCCTTTTCCATATCCTTATAATCATCAAATTACAATATTGGGCGTCATATCACATAGTTATATTACATAAAATCCAGTTATATCATACTATATTATCTTAGGTTATATATTAAATATATTATGTCATACAGCAGATATCAGTATTTCAAGGGGCGACGATTCTGAATTAAGTTAAGATTAACATCAAGATAAATTAATAAGTATTTTCTCTTTTTCCACCTAAGGCAACTCTAGTTTTTGATAAGAAGTTAACAAATTTTGTTTTATACACTATTTTTTACAAATCGGCATAAAAGTATATTAAACATTAAGTTTATTCGAAGAATCGTCGTACCTCCATAAAACTATTATGTTTTCTCTTGGCTGCAAAACAACATTAATCGTAAATCAATGCCTATATTTCAATTATTAATACTAATATTATTCCCATACCTGTGTGCTACATACTTGTTGTTGTATTCGCATTTTGAGTCTATTCAATCGCATCATTCTCATAGAACAATATTTTCGAAAATGTGGCATTTGGACCACATCGCAAGGACTTCGAGGATTTGGACCAATTATTTTGGTAAGTATTAATTTCATTTGATCAGTTTATCCATTGATATATTCATAAGATTTTCACGGTTCTGAACATTGTGATAATTTGGAATATCTTCTTTTTTAGAAACCATGTTGATTTTTCTAATTAACCAGTCTTTAAGTTATGTTTTATTAATTGTTTGCTTCTTAAAGTAACATTTGTAAATATCCTTTCTAAATAAAATAGAAATTCCATTCTAATATTGTTAGAATCATCACATAATTAGAGAAAATAATTTTGAATGTCGCATCATTCTCATAGAACAATATTTTCGAAAATGTGGTATTTGGACCACATCGCAAGGACTTCGAGGATTTGGACCAATTATTTTGGTAAGTATTAATTTCATTTAATCAGTTTATCCATTGATAATACAAGTTAAAGGTAGCTGTTTTTTAATAACGTTAAAGAAAAATATTATAATCATTTCTTTAATAAATTCAGATTTCAAGACGAATTTAATAAAATGTTTATCCCATATGGCGTATATTTCGCTAGGGTCATTACAATATGTAGTAGCTTCACCAGAAACAAGAAGGGAAACTTCGAAAAGTTGTGGCCTGTATTCAGGTATTGTATCTTAAACATTACTTCATTGGTAAGATTTAAGATTACTATGAAATTACGGTGTATAACGATTTCAGGCTACTTCAATGTATTGGAAATATCTAGAATGGTTTTCTTATTCTAAGTTTTCTTGCTTTAACTATGTTTACAACTGCTTTTATTATGGTTTGTGTTACAAATTTATTGCATCATACAGTTTAATTAGAGAAAGGACTTGGAAAAGTTTTCCGCTAGTCTAATGGTTTTCTTCACTTTATCGACAGTTTACGTTATCGGACAGAGATTGACTACCACGATAAGAGTAACTCTTTCTTATAATAGTATTTAATGAAAATTGGAATTCCAAAATGAAATAATACTAATATATTTTTATTTTTAATAATAGATTGACAAAGTGTCGGAAGCCGTTTATAACATGAATTGGTACGATGCGGATGTATCAACAAAAAAAGATGTATTAACCTTACTTTGCTTAAGTCAGAAGGATTTCTCAGTGGAAGTTCCTATGTTTGGGAAAATGTTTCATGCAGGAGCAGCTAAAGTACGTTATTTATGTTATTTAGATAATTTAAAAATTGTAAAATGAATAATATTTTCAAGGATTACAGGATAGTTTACATTGTCTGTAATTGGATAGTAAAAGTTAAGAAGATGAAAATCTTCTAAAACGTATTTACAACGGCAATCGGTAACTATAGGTGTTTGTGAAATAACATTTATACTAAATGTTGTATAAAAATTAAGCTTCAAATACACACATTTCTTGCTATTACTCTAAGGGATTTTTTCTTTTCTTGCCATTCAATGAGATGAAACAGTCCTGGATCCATTCATTCAAGCTATTTATATCTCAAAGTCTGCTTTGAATGAAAATCAACATCTCGTGCAAACACAAAACGATTAGATTACGATAGGTAGATTTGGTTTGCAACTTCTAGGTAAGATAAATTTTATTTATTTAGAATAATTTAGAATGTATTGAACAATAAATGTTACGATAATAAATGTTACATTATGGTCAGTAGTTGTAAGTGGCGAAAATCTCTGTACTTTAGACAAAAGCCCTGTAAAATGATTTATAGCTTGATACCCATTTGAAAAAATTTGGGAAATGCTTAGGAGGACAAAGTTTAGGGTATAATTTTTGCGTCAAAAGTTGTCCCCCTGGGAAACAAACTTGACGTGATTCAGATTTTTTCGATAAAATCTTTTCCTGGCATTTATGCCCTTCAGCTCATTTTCAAGGGGCCAGCCTATATATTCCATTAGCATGGTCGTGGGAGGGTCTTCCTTTCTTTGAACGCTTAATTTTTTTTAACGATGTGTTCTAATATCTTCATGTACCACTTAGAAGTATTATATCTCTATAATTTGTAGCCTTTTGTCCCCTTTCTTATCAATTAGTACTCTTAGTGCCGTTTGCTAATCTTTTGCTTTTAGACTTTATTACCAGACTTTATTCAGTATATGCAATAATATCTCTTTCCCCAGCTGTCCCATACATTTAATCATGTACTTTTTAACTTAAACAATCCGTACTGCATCTAAAACAAATATAAAATTGAATAAATGTGTATTTTTCACTACAAATTTATAATCAACTCACAAAAATAAATTCAACTAGCGACATCTATTAAGCAAACGAATAAATTGTAATGTATAAATTTAATGTAAAATTTAATAATTTTTTTTCAATTAAATTTCAAGGAAATTAAATTTTATTACCTTAACTGAGAAAAAATAAATAATTTTTTTAAATAAATTATTTCGATTGGTGTAATCACAAATTATAATTTTTATTTAACGGTGACATCTAACGATTGTAATGGGAAGTTTAGATACATTTTCAGTGGTAGCACTGGTTTCAGGTGTACAAATTTTCATTTTATTAAGTTTCCTTCGTGTCGATCACGTCGCAGCCGTCGTCGTCGTTGCCCGGATGCTCCGGAACGTGGATTCTTCCCGGAAATGATTTATTAGCGGCGGACACTTTTGTTTGTCGATCGTGTACACGGACCCGTGCGTGTTATGTAATTTTTAATCGTACACGACGTAGAAATCGAGTGACCAAGATATTATTGTTTTAATCTGGGATATTATTATTACACACACTTCCGTTACGAACGTAAGTAAATAACATTTTTCATGCTTATTTCATTATTACTTATGATTTAATCTAAGTGCTTGTATATTTTGTATATAAAACAATTGATAAAAAACTTATGTTTTTCGTAAAAATCTAAGGTGGCTTTGACAAAGTTAGGTTAGGGTTATTTGCTGAAAAGTTTAAATAAATTTTAAAAAGCACTTTGATAAGTATTTTTGATGATTAGAAAGTATAAAGTGTTGTAACTTGTAATTGTAATCAGTTTAATATTATAATAGTTGATTGACTCTTTTTTGTTAGGTTATGTTATTCTGATTTTTCAGATTTAAATGTATAAAACCAAAAATAGAAAATAAATTTTCTATACTTTAATTTATCCTAAAATTCTAGTTAAGATTCTACATATACATTGCAGTTTAATGAATAAACATGATGAAAATGAACCTAGAATTCCAGAATATAAACATTACAGGTTAAGAGCTTTTGAAACCGAACATAAAACTACGAGGAATGAAAGGAGAATTCATTTTTTAATTTCTCTATTCAATATTTTGTGTTTTAGGAATTTCAGAAACAAATAACAATTATTATTATAATGAACAATTATTTCATTCAAAGCTAAGAAAAAAGCTTGTTCAAAATAACATGTCTTGCAACCATCAAATATTTATAAAATTAAGAAATCATATTCATAAGATTTTCACGGGTCTGAACGTTGTGATAATTTGGAATATCTTCTTTTTTAGAAACCATGTTGATTTTTCTAATTAACCAGTCTTTAAGTTATGTTTTATTAATTGTTTGCTTCTTAAAGTAACATTTGTAAATATCCTTTCTAAATAAAATAGAAATTCCATTCTATTATTGTTAGAATCAACACATAATTAGAGAAAATAATTTTGAATGTCAGAAAATTCACATCACTAACGTTTATAAAATTGCTACTTATTGTATCTATATAAATTCTAAATTCAACATAAAAATATTCCATGTTACGTTTCAATAGAACCATATTGATTATTCTAATTTACTTTTTGTGATATAATTTGCTATGAAAAAAGGTGATAATAAACTTACTTAAAGTAGACATGTTTCAAAATATAAGTACATGCATAAATAATTACTTCAGATATTGCATGCTTTTCCAAATCAATACCGACACGAAAACTATTTATTACTTTGTATGCACGTCGCGATTACAAACCCGATAAGTTGTTTGTACTGTAAAAATTCCATTTCTTTTGGGTTTTATCGCATTCAAAGAATGTTATGTACAATATTCTGGTATGTCAACTAATGTTTATTTATCATTTCTTAAGTATTTTGTATGAAAATACTTCGTCGGATTTCTGAAGCAAAATATTTTGATTTTACAAATTAAAATTTTTGTAATTGCTTAAATTTTGCTAAACTTTGTTGGCATTTTTTATAGGCATATCTCTAATTTTTAATAAAATCAAAAATTGGAATTTGTTCTAAAACATGATTTTTGTTACTTCGAACATAAAAAATGTTGCGTTGATATTTAAATATCGTCACTGATATTTTTATAATGTTCCAAGTATTTAATGACCATTTTAATGCCTTGTATAGCTTGCAAAGTTGCTGAACAGCTATTTCCTAATTCATCATTTGATTCAGACCTATTTTCATCTTGATTGTCATGACTTTTACTTATGAATTAGTACTGGATATATACCCGGGGATATTTACCCTAGATGGGTATTTAGAGGTATTTATAAAATTTAATTTAAATTGAATTGATGGCAGTTTTGTAAGCACTTCAAGAATGCAGAATCGATTTATCAATACGTTATTTTAATGACGTATCAATTGGGTGTGGGGTAAGACAAGGCGATACAATGTTGAACCCAAGTTGTTCATCATAGTCTTGGAGAGTGCATTTAAAGAACTGGATTAGACCCAAAATAGCATAAACATTGCTGGCAAATTTATAGTAATTTGCGCTACGCGGACGATATAGTCCTTATTTCGGATACCCGAAAGATAGATGAAACTGATGCTGATCGACTTACAGGAGGTGTGTGCAAAAATCGGGCTAAATATCAACGTGGAGACATCAATTGATGATAAATTTTATTCCCAGCTCGAACATCTACATTGGGGATAATAAGATTGCGAGCGTTGACAGCTATGTATATCGTGTATCGAGAGATAATCAAACAAGCGAACTAAACAGAAGGATCACACTGGCATGGGCAGCCTACGGGAAACTTAGAGACATCTTCAAAAGCGATATTTCTATATATTTGAGAAGAAAGGCGTGCTTCAGGTTATGACATACGGCTCCGAAACTTTAACATTAATGGTGGCCACTGCCAGAAGGCTCAAAGAAACGCAAAGAAAGATGGAGAGGTCGATGCTGGGTATAATCCTGCGGGACCACATACGAAATGAAGACCCACGAAGAACAACTGGCACAAATGATGTGGTCAACATTGTGGCAAAGCTCAAGTGGATCTGGACTGGTCATGTCGCGCGAATGAAGAATCAAGCGGGCAGACGAAGTAGAGAAAGACCGCATACACGCTGGATGGACGACGTCAAAAGAATAACTAACACTTGGATTCAGACAGCACAGAATAGAATCGAATGGAACAGAATAGGGGAGACCTATGTGCAACAATGGACAGAGAGGGATGCTTAATGATGATAATAAAATTTAAAAACGATACAAAGACCACTACAAAAATAAACAAATTTAATTCAAAAATAAAAGTTCTTTAATAAAAAGCAATAACGATGGTTATTTATACAAGAACTACAGAACACCAGCGCCCATCACTGAGTAGTTAACCGTAGAGTTAAATAAATGTGAATGATTACCTACTCACTATTATTATTCTAATCGATATTCCTTTGACTATTTTCTATTTTTCTTTGTTCGTTAATTCAAATCGTTTTTAATATAAATAATGGTAATAGTAAACAGAGTACACTAAAGACTTCAAATTGTAAAGATACAGGTCATCAAAGTTAGAAAATTGTAACACATTTTTCTAAACTCTTCAATTGTATTTATGGTAAAGCATTGAAATTTAGTAAAGTACATACCAAATCGAACCGCGGGATCAATAATATACAATACATGATGTTTCTGAAATTTGTTTGTGTAAAACCGTAAGGGGTACAAATTATCGGTGCTTTCGCTAGTGCAATCTACCATCCCGGATAATGACCGGAATTTGAGCTATGCGCTGGTATTTAACCGAACTTCGCCTACAATTTCATCAAATCCTTCCAAATATTAGTGGTATGTAACAGACTCAATAAAATCATCGCCCGCAATTCCAGAAATTTTCAGGGAAATCTATTGCGATTATTCCATCTTTAGAACTTGTTTTAAAAGTTTTTCTAAAAACTGATTAACAATTTGTATATTTTGCCGCATATTCTGGCAATATTCTAATCTTATTGGATAATCAGTCAGGTGTACTTCCTGGACTTGACTGCACAGAAATGGGTAAAGCGTACCCTCCGGAAGAAACGCCATACAAGTTTTAACCAAATTACCTGGTCACATCAGAAATTCTTAAAGTATCTCCAAATTCTCTCTTCTAATTTAAGAGTTCGAAGTGATCTTATGTTAACGTTATTAATAACATCACATCAATTCTTCATAATTTTGCAGAATTTCATGCTGCGCTTCATATCGGCGTCATTGAGTTCATGCAGTATTTACAGATTTCCGCGAATCTTGATTTTCATGCGATTTTTTGTTTTCTTTAGCAGCTAACAAAACCTTTTTCGTCAAAAACGTTTTTATGAATTTAGAACGCTGTATGCGGGAAAATCAGGAAAGCCTAGATAGTGGCAAGTATATGTTATTCATACTTTAATAAGTATGTTATTATTGAGAAGTATTGCATAACATACTTTTTATGTTATTCACACTTTTCTTCGATCTTTCGCGTGTAACTTTGATTATTTATTCCCAACGATTCCATGTTGCGGCCCTTAGTCATGTTTGTCATTTGTCTTGGGTTGGATTGTCATTTTAAGTCACTGTTATTGATTATCTGTCTCGGAATTCTTCTCTGATTAAGAGTCACCGTATTCGTTCTTCTATGAGTCATTGTCCAATATGTACATGTATATTTGTACACTTTGCGCAAATATAAATACTGTGACATGTTGAAAATTTCCAACAATTAGCGATAGCTCTATTTAGCAAATTCATAAACAAAGGCCACCACCAGTTTTTGTGGCTGAGCAATCATCACGTCTTTATGCCATTCTTTTTGATTATAGCTTCTTATAACACAGTAACGTCATTACTAATACTTTTTCTGTCATCTCTGCTGGCGCTATCAAAACAGGCAAGTTTTCGTAACGACTCACACCTTTTTCAGTATCGGTACTCAACTTTTTACATTAAGTATTTTTAGTTTTTTCACTAATAGCAATGTTTAATCTTCAGAACTGTCAAAAGCATCATCACTGTCTTTACTGCCATATCAAAAGCATTAGATATTTTTACCTCATTGTTTGTCCAGTTCCGAAAGAACATACATAACATCAATACTATCTAAAAATAGGGTTGTTCCCACAACCCTATCAAACCGTTTCTGGTTTCAAACTTGAAATTCCATTCACATATATCCAATAATACAAGAAAATCTATGGATATGTAATTACAATATTTGACATATAGGCTATAAAAGGAGTTTTCAATTAATTAAACTTTTTTTTATTGTTTGTTCCATTGCGATAACACAAAATGTATGCCAAACAAGAAAGAAAAACAACCGAAATAGAGTGGGTAAAAGGTTTGCTTTAGGTCATTATTTATTCATTTATGCTATCATTATCGTTTCCTAACTCATTCTCACAGTTTTCTAGAGTCGCCCCTAATTCATTTCGATTAACGTAAGTATTTATTTCAAGATTCACAACACTACTGATAACGTATCAAAATTCAACAATACACTGCAATATAATAGCAGACACTAACCACTCCGATATCAAGACTTGTCTAGACTTGCATTTTCAGATAA